TTGCGTATAGAAATGTCGTGCAGGAAGAAGTATTGGCCGCTTTGTCGTCATGGGTAATGATGATTTATCTATTCGACCTTGGCATCGAATCGTACCTTCTTCGTCCAAGAATAAATCCAACTGTCTTACGAGCAGCGGTTCTTTCTTCGAAACTCCTTGGAGATATGACCTTTCGTCTTCGAAATTGCTTGCCTGTATGGTATTCACCCAAAGTTTTTCAGCTGCTCTTAGTTCATTCGCAGTTACTTCAATTGGCACTGGCTGTCTCCTCGTTTTGTCACCGAATCTCTTTAATAACGCTGTTACTCGTAAAAGTTGCTCTTTGGTACTGTACCGGTTGCAATCCATGATGGCTTCTACGTTAGGTGGGGTGATCGTAACATTGGCTAAAGCTCTCGTTATCGTTGGTTCAATCTTGGGCTTCGTGATTTCTGCGAACGCGCTCAGTTCGTCACTCTTCGTAGGTCCTGGTTCACTCGGCCAAGCCTCCTCGGTGCTTCGAATAAACTCTGGACCGTTCCACCACGTCGTATTCTTCGTTAACTCAATTCCGCGACTTCCTCGAGATGGCAAATCTGCGGGGTTTTGTTCGCCTGGGCAAAATCTCCAGGATTCTTTCTCGACAAGGTCCCGTATCTCTTGGACACGATGATTGACGTAAGATTTCCAAACTTTCTCGTTTCTGATCCAACACAAAACTGTGTACGAATCAGTCCAACAAAATACTTCAGGAGTCGTGTTCAATGACGTTAGCCCTTTCTGGACAGAGTTCATCAATCGAGCTAGGATAGTTGCACCCAGTAATTCTAGTCGTGGTATGGATTGTTTTTTTATCGGAGCCACTCTCGTTTTGGAGGCCACAAGATTTACTTCAATCTCTCCGTTATGATGAACTGTTCGCAAATACACTACGGCTGCGTAGGCCTTCGATGAGGCGTCACTAAACCCGTGAAGCTGGTGACCTGTCGGTTTCTCTTTGGTTCTTCGGAAGTAACATCGAGGTATTCGAATGTCGTTCAATGCTGAGAGGTCTACGATAAATCTTTTCCATGCCGCTAACTCTTCTCCGTCTAACACGTCATCCCAATTAACGCCATGAACACACAGAGTTTGGAACAAAACTTTCATACAGATCGTAAATGGGGTAAGGAATCCAAGTGGATCAAACACTTTAGCCGCGAGTCGTAGCACTGATCGCTTCGTAGGATTAAGTGTTGCCGCAAAGTTCACCAATGCAGTTAGGTCATAGTGAATTTCATCAGTGTTGATATTCCAATTCAGTCCTAGAATTTTTATAGAACATTCTGGTTTCGGATCGTCATCAGCTTCGGATCGCGCGTACAAAATGTCGTCATTCGCTTCGTTTGAATCTCTCTCAGTTCGGTTTTCCTTTTCTGTCGAGTTGGTAAACACGTCTTGCTTACTCCCGAGGGGTTTCACTTCAGTTAATACGGTTTCGTCGACTTTACTGCACTTCAGTTCGCCGGCGACTTTCGTCCGAAGAATTGTCGAGTTGGAATTCCATTTTCGCAATTTAAATCCGCCAGAGTTCATGATGTCGTTTGCTTTTTCGTAGATTTCTAAAGCCTGGTCGTCTTCCATCGCACCTCCAACCAAATCATCCACGTAGAACGACTCTTGCAACAATGCAACGACTTCGGGCTCTTTCGTTTTGTGCGATTCCAAATGACGTTGTATAACCGAATTTAAAATAGCTGGGCTTGGGGTCAACCCAAATACTAGGCAACAAAACTGATATTCAACAATGTCTGGATGTTCCTTGCGTATATCGTCGAACCACAAGAAGCGCAACATTCGCCGGTTATCTGGATTTATCTCAATCTGGTGGAACGCCTTTTCCACATCGGCCACGATTCCTACAGGGTAACCCCTGAACTTTACAACGACGTCAAATAGGTGGGGAACTAAGTTCGGTCCCTTTTCCAGGCAGTCGTTGAGGGACAAATTCGATGAACCGTGCTTCGCTGACCCGTCGAAAACTACTCGAACCTTCGTAGTCGCCTTATCTTCTCGTATCACGCCGTGATGAGGTAGAAAATGCGTTGCTTCATCGCTTGCCGAACATCCAGGGACTTTCTCGATTATACCTGACTTTATTTGCTCTTGTATGACTTCATCGTACTGTTCAAGCAGCTCTTGATCAGTTCTCAAGCGTGAATGCAGTTGTCGTAGTCGTTTCAAACATGGAAAATATCCATTTGTTGTGGGCATACGATCATCCTTCCAGGGAAGGCTCACTTGATATCGACCCTGGTTCTTGTCGAAATTTGAATCTCTCAAAAACTCCTTCTCCAGCGACGGGTTTGGCTCGAAGATGCCAAGCGATTCTGTGTCCCAAAACCTTTGAACAGCGCGGATCAAACCTTCGTCTCCAACACTTTCCCCTGGATCGAACATCAGCGCAGAATCCGTTTTCTGAACAATGAGTTGCGTGATAGTTGCATTCTTTCCAGGTGTCTTTGCATAACCACTGCCGGAGACCATCCATCCGAATTCGCTATTAACTGCCACAGGGCCCCCGTCGCCCCGTTGTATCTCACCCGTAATTATGTCGAAATAGTAGTCGGAACCAATTAAGATGTCGATATTCTGTGCCGAATCACTGTCGTTAAGCAGACTTTCATCAGCCAGATCCAACCCTTGCAGGTGTGTATGTCGGTCAAGGTCAAGCGTTGTCAAAAGGGGCGAGCAAATCTTAGGATAACAGAGTGCTGCGATTTCAACGTCTTTCGATTTCCCTTGCAATTCTACACGAACTCGATCGCATCGTTGTTTAACAAATCTATCATCTCCGAATGTATTCAAGTTCAAAACTTCAGTTTTTCCGAGCTAAGACCTAGCTTTTCCTTCAACGACTCTGTCACATACGATCGCTGGCTTCCGCTGTCCATCAAGACACGTACAGGAATTAAAGCATCTTCCACTTTCGAGTAAGCATACGCGGTCGCAGTTTGCAAGAAAACTTTACATTTCGATCGAGTTGCTGCAGTTGTCGAATTTTGACATGCAGTAATGGTTGCGCCTTTGCTTGCACTTGTTTGGGGCTGCTCTTCTTTAGTTGTCGATTTTGAATCACCGTCCTTATAATCCTTATCTTTTCCACCAGCGTTTGGGAATTTTGCCACAACCTTTTCGCAAATTGATTGGTGATGTCGCCCTTCGCATCGACGACACCTTTTTGACGGATGACATTGGTTGGCACGGTGACCGACTTGTAAGCACACGAAACAACGATTGTCTCGTCTCAAAATTTCCTTTCGCTCACTGGGTTTCACTTTCGATTCACACGAAGCTGAATAATGCAGATTCCCACAGTAGGCACATCTGATCGCACCGTACGGTTTACTATCCCTCCCTTGAGCTGCTAGCGAGGTAGTCGTAGATGGAAAACGAGGTGGTGGTTTTACCTTCTTCTCGCTGTCGGCCCTTACATGATCACTTAATTCACGAGCTTCCACTTCCTTTCGTATTATCTCTAATAACTCCTTTATCTCCCATACCTCTTTATCCGATTTTCTAGCGATTTCAAGTCGAACGTCCCCAGGTATCTTGGACATAATAACTGGAATTAGTAAACTCCCGTACTGATCCGGTTTCACACCAAGAGCTTCTAATCCTCTAACGTTGACACTTACTTTGTCATATACAAACCGCAATTGCGATGATTTCTCCCCAACACATGGAGCTAACTTCAAAAGTTCGTCCATATGGGCTGCTATGATTTGTTGCGATTTCCCGAATCTCTCCTGTAATATATCAATAGCCGATTGGTAGTTATCCGCTGTAACTGCCAGTCCCTTTATTGCTCGAAGCGCATTTCCCTCTAATAATGACAAAAGATAGTTATACTTGTCAATGTTTGTTAAATACGAATTTCGGTGTACAGCGCTCTGGAAACTTTCCCAAAAAGTTCGATAGTTTGTAATATCTCCTTTGAATTTCGGTAGTACCAACTTGGGTAGCTTAATTGCAGGTGCGTAGTGCACTGTCGATCCGGGTTGTAACACAGATTGTACCGTTGATGCGTTGATGGTATTTGATGATGCTTCCACTTGGTTCGCTTCATGATTGTTCAATGTTTCCACTTGGTTCGAACCATGACTGTTCGATGTTTCCACTTGGTTCGATTCATGGTTGCTCGATGTTTCCACTTGTAGTTGCTCGTCGTTCGATTGACTTGTCCCCTCGTTGGAGACAACATCAGTGTTTATTTCGCTTGTTTTAGAAGTCGTTGGCCCAGGTTTATCGACTACCTTGCCCGTCGCACTCGTAAATTTCTCGATTCTACTACTTACGTCGCTTGCTCGCGAAAACATTTCTTCCGTTTCTTCGATTTCTCGTTCGATATCGTCGATTTCGCATAACTCTAGCACTTGAGCATCGAGCTCTTTAAGTCGTATTATTTTCTCGTTTAACAAATTCGCTATTGTTCGTAGTCGATCCTTATTCGTTTCACTCCCCTGATCTAACAGCTCGATCGCTTCTTTGCTGTATCTCGTAACAACTCCCCGATTTCCCGAGCGAATAGCTCGTATCCTTTTCAAATCTTTGTTCGGCTCGCTCATATTCTCGCGTAAACAACTCCGATATTTTCGATTTTAATTCGATCTTTCGTCAAAGCTAGCGCCCCACGTTGGGCGCCATGTAAACAACGTTCAATTTTACTATATATTTAATAACATTTAAACACATATCACAATAAAACAGCCGGTTCGGCACTGGCGCTAGCTTTGTTATATTTTCGCCATGTCTGGAGGCGTGAACTCTTAAAAGAAGGCGGGTTGTGGGCGTGCCACACTAGCTTCTGATTGGCGCGTTGTCTCTACGTCATTACTATCATTTATAATGTTAATATAAACCTGAACCGTTCGATACAGTTTTCAACACAAAAAGGTTACCCCCTATTGGCCCCTAGCTAATTGTGAAGTCGAACGTTTTATGCGAACACTCGAAAAAGCAATCCGTACAGCTCATTTAGAGTAAAAGAATTGGAAACAAAAATTAACGTATTTCTACGCCAGTACCGTGCAACTCCACACAGCACCACAAACATATCCCCATCTGAAGCTCTAAACAGCCGAAAACTGCAAACGCTTCTTCCCCAGCTCACCGAAGTCCCCAATCCTGAAGCAGATAATTCCATGCACGAAAATGATAGTGAGAAAAAAAAGAAAGATGAAGGAATACGTTGACAAACAACGACGTTCTGAAACCAGCGAAATAAAAGTAGGAGATACAGTCCTAATCCAATAACCGAAAGCAAACAAGTTATCCACTCCTTTTAATCCAAGTCCTTACAAGGTCGTAGCGAAGAAAGGAAGTATGGTCACTGCTGAACGTGGTTCTCACAAAGTTACCCCAACGTTTCGTTTTTCAAAAAAATTAAAGCTACTTTCATCCCGGAAGATGCGACAGTCGATGAATCCGATGATCCCATCCCACATTCCCAACACAACTTGAAGCAACAACTTGCACCACCACCTCCCAGAAGATCTCAATGGAACAGACAACTTCCCAACAGACTGAGATATTAATAAACGTCATAAACGGACACGTTAATCTAAGTATCATAAAAAAGAAACACTTGGTGTGTTGAAATTTAAAAGTTTTGTTTAGAGTATTCGAACTCGTATTACATAAAGAACAGTCTATCGAAATAGACAAATACTAGGACGACTTTATAGTACAGTGGGGAGAGATGTAATATCATACTGTAGTTAATATCACAGTTACTGAAGTTAATATCATACTGTACACTAACGTTTACTAACTTCCCCTTTGTAATTTTATAATGTATTTTATTCTTATAATATTTCATTTGGGTAATTGGTTCTTAAGATATAATGTTTGCGCCGCTAGGTAATTATGGCCTAATTAGCGTCCACCACATTTACTAACTTCCCCTTTGTAATTTTATAATGTATTTTATTCTTATAATATTTTCATTTGAGTAATTGGTTCTTAAGATATAATGTTTGCGCCGCTAGGTAATTATGGCCTAATTAGCGTCCACCATATTGGATAATTATTGTAATTAGTTGTAGTGTATCGCGGTAAATATCGGATAAACACAAGAGTATAGCCGCCTGGTTTGGTGGGTTGTATGGGCCAACGACAGGAACTTAAACTTGTCGCTATCCAAAAAACCTTGGTGGCAGTTGGCACAGTTCTCACACAGTCTGTTCAACTGCTTATGAATGCCCGCCAAACTGGCGGCATTCCAAACACCATGAACCAAGTTCCCAACACCATGAACGAAGTTCTCACACTTCAAGTGGATGCCCTTGCTCTCCTGGGGCATACAAATTATGACCTTTCACTCCGTCGTCGCGAAACGATGAAACCCAGCTTGACTAAAGAGTATGCTTCATTGTGCTCTTCCCAAACATCGGTAACCTCGATGTTGTTTGGCGATGAATTACAAAGCCAACTAAATGCAATTCGAGCGTCGAATCGAATTAGCCAAACGGCCACCCAGTCCACGACTGGACATTTTGGTAGTCACAACAAATCGACTTTTCAACGGCATCCAAGAAATGATCATGAAAAGTCTTTTATATCCAAAGGCCCCAAACCGCGTTGGTCGAACAACAGATTCCCCAGTCATCAGAAAAAGCGGGAAGGGGGCAACAAGTTCAACAAGAAGTGACTGCCATCGACAAGGATATAATTTATACACATGTATCTAAAGTTAAGGTAAACGAATTTTTAACGTTTTTACCGGTGTTGAAGGAGACTTTTAACATGCAAATAAGCCACTTTCGTGGTGTGTCGTCTTGCTCATTTTTATCATGAGTGGGAAAAATTACTTCCGATCAAGAGATTCTAGATATAGTGAGCGGCCAACGTATAGAATTCGACACTATGCCGCTTCAAAACTATCCAAGGTCACTAACCAAGTGTACGGAAGCCGAACAGGCTGTCATACGGGCTGAAATTGTGAAACTGCTTCACAAAGCTGTAATTGTTCATGCACAACATAAACCTGGAAAATTCATATCTCCAATTTTTGTACGCCCCAAAAAGGACGGCACAAGTCGAATGATTTTAAATCTGAAAGATCTTAACCAGCATGTAGAATATACCATTTTAAATGGAAGCACTTATTGATGCTATCAGGCTTATGACCCCTAATTGTTTTATGGCGGCAGTGGATCTTAAGGACGCGTATTATTCGGCCCCTATTGCCAAGCCACAGCAAAAAATCCAAAATTTGCATGGGAGGGTTCACTATATGCATTTACATGCTTCCCAAACGGGTTTGCTAGTTGCCCACGGAAATTCACAAAACTTCTTAAACCAGTGTATGCAGTTTTGAGAAAACCGGGACACACTTCGTCTCCATACATTGATGAGTCATATCTACAAGGGGATGACTATGTCAGCTGTCTAGAAAATGTTATAGACACTGTCCGACTATTTACACTAGGGTTTGTTATTCACCCTGACAAATATGTGCTTATCCCAACACAGAGACTAATATTTTTAGGATTTATACTTGATTCAGTTCTAATGAGAGTCTATATGACCCCTGAGAAAGTAACTAAGGTCATTGAAATGTGCTCTAAACTATTAAAGAACACTTCGCCGACCATCAGAGAGGTCTCCCAAGTCGTGAGATATATAATTTCGACTTTCCCAGGAGTCATGCTAGGGCCACTCTTTTTTCGACACCTCGAAGGTGTGAAATCGCAAGCCCTTAAGGTCAACAAAGCCAATTTTGACTCTCTAATGACATTAAATGATGAGGCTAGAGAGGAGTTGACCTGGTGGGTCAACTCTCCCCAGACAGCTACAATGTTGTTAGCCATGGGCTACCAGCTATTGTATTAACCGCAAATGCCTCTTCTACAGGTTGGGGTTGTACCGTGGGTGAAACTAGGACAGGGGGAAATTGTACAAAAGATGAGGCACAACATCATATAAACTACCTAGAGTTGTTAGCTGTCTTCTTGGCACTGAAATCCTTTGCAAACTCTTTAGCAGGAAAACATGTATTTCATATTCGGGACCAAATTTCGGGATTTACCTTGGGAGCAAACAATCGTTCGCAGTTATCTGGTCGGTCATATTTTGCTATTTTCTCTTTGAATTTGTCGTCCGATAATTTTGACGACCATCTCTTATTGACGATATCAGCCAGCTGAGTTGAGACCGGACTACTTGTTTTATCGTCAGCCGAATACTCCATGGCTAATGTTGTGAGGAATGCATCTCCTCGTCGCCATCTTTAGTTTCAGCTGATTCGGTCTCTTGCTCCGAAGGATGGTCTTCGATCAGGGCATCAACATCACTCCCTTCTTGATCATTCGACCTCCTTTTCTTGCTGCTCAGAGTCAAAGACTCCGCTGACTCCACCGCCCTAGAATCTCGTTTGGCAGTAGCGGTTGGAGTTTGTTTTATTTTGCGGATTTCTTGACTCATATTTGACACATTGTTTGCCAAAGTAGCCATGAGCATCTATCGATCGAAGAACGTTTTTCTATGGTCGGACATCTTCGCTAGTTGATTAATCGTCCTCCTTGAGCCGTTCGTTTTCTATCTCGTCTTTTCCCGTCATTTGTTTGTTTCTACGTGTGTTCTTCGCAACGTTTCGCTTGCAAGTGATCTAGCTTGCTTCGCGCGCATATCTCTCACGTAACTCCTTAGCGAAAATAAATAATCATAGTAATAATAATAATAATAATTTTTTTTAACAACAGAAATCTTTATTAATAACATGATAATTTATACAAATATATCACATAATTAGACTTTCAATTAAATCAGGAAAATAGAGAAACAGTTCACTATATTAGACAGATAGGTCCATTCTCTACACTTTAGATCAAACGCAAGACACGCCGTGATCAGCTCAGATCTTAGATGTCTGTATCTTTCTTTCTTGCGACGTTTAGCCTTTGTACAATTGGTTTCGTAGGGAACAGTTAATTCAACCAAATATACAGAACCCTTAAAATCCACCACTATATCAGGTCTTAGCGTTCGAAATAAAGTTGAAGTACAGGTCGTACCTAAATTAGGACAGTCCGCAAACAGTCGAAGATCTGCACCAACTGCGACTTTTAAGTGATGAATGATAGTCATCAGAATTGAGTCATGCCGCCAAGTATAGCGTTGTTGTTCTAGGGCTACCTTGCAGTTGGAAAAAAACGTGTAGCTTGGTTTGTAACTTGTTGCGCAACTCACAGTTGGCGGAGTCACGAATATTCCAGCGCTTTAGGTTAATTTAAAGTTATTTCCTAAACTTAAAATCAAGTGAACGCTCTCCTAGCAAAGCATGCTATATTGCTGGGCATTCGAGTGACAATTTCGTGCCATACTTTAATCATCTTCTTATAGCAAGTATCAGTTAAGCAGGTAATGATAACGGATTGTTCTTTTAGTTCTACAAAGTTTGCCCAAATTTCGTTAAGGGTTTTCTTTGCCAGAATCTTCTTTGCAGCGTTTCTTAACATATATTGTTCAGAGATACCAGCAGCCGCCAGTTCAATAATATCATCAGTGACGATATTTTTTGATGACGTTTTGGTATATAGCTGTTGAATATCGGAGTTGTCGACAGAAGTCTTCAAGATTCTGCGCACTGTCAGTTTACATTGATTATATGTAAATAATAATAATATATATATATATATATATATATATATATATATATATATATATATATATATATATATATATATATATATAATAATAATAATAATAATAATAATAATTATAATAATGGAAACTTTATTAATGAATTTTTTTTTAAGTTACATACAATTGTAAATCTCACTTATATAAGGTAATTCACAATCGTCTACTTGAATCAATAATAACTATACATACACAATATAACAATTATGATTACATATATAATACACTAATTATTTTACTACAGCTTAGGAGTTTATCATGCAATACAACGCAGGTCTGTTTTTCTGATACTACGCTTAAAAGCAGATAGTGATTTCTGTCTTCGGATTTTAATTTTGACCAAAGGTAAGGTCCATAATACCTTAATGAGTGTTTTCCAAATTTTACAGACTTAAATCTCGGTATAAGAAAGTCTGAGTTTCTAAGATTATAATTCCTTGGTGTGTTTATAAATATATTTAATATATTGTTCGGAAGTAGCCTTTGTTTGACTTTAAACATGAATATGGTTATGTCTTGCAACCTCCGGTTGTACAAACTTGTTAACTGGGCCCTTAACAGTAGATCTTCATATGTTGAGTTCCAGTCACAGAAAACTGCTCTCAGCCCCCGCTCGTTTACCCGTTCTAGCTTTCTACAATCCGAGCTTTTACAGAAGTGCCAGACCAATCCGCAGTACGTCAAATACGGTAATATAGCGGCTTTGTAGATCTTTAACTTCGCATTAACTGGAATTAATTTCCGTAATCTCATCAACATACCCACACGCATACTTGCACACTGTAAAAACTGATAGGTTAAAACAACCTATTTCTAAAGGTTGTAACCAATAATTAAAGGTTGTTTTAACCAATTGAATGGGTTAGAACCGATTTAAATTAGTTAAAATAACCTATTATTATCAGGTCAAATTTTGCGACCAATAAAAATAGGTTAATTTAACCAATCTTTTTGGTTAAGCAAATTTACCGATTGGTTATTATTCCCAAATAGGTCATTATAACCATTATGATTAGGTCAAAATACAGAAAACTAAACTAACCTATATGAAATATGTTGAAATATTTAGCTCGCTTACGAGTATGATACTTTCAATTTCAAGGAGTTATTCTCACTCCACTCAGTTAAAAGCCATTTATTAAATCGTCAGAAGTGAAATAGTGAGTAATTTTCCACTAAGTTTTTACTCGGCCTGTGTATTATAACTCGACCATCACACATAGGAATGACAAAAACTATATTCAAGTTTCTTCAACCTAAAATTAGGGCGATATTTTCTATACAAATTCGAAGTGAAGGACTGCAGTTCGTGTAAAATCAACCCAAGATTTAATTTAGCGGTTGACGCGCCGTTTTTCTCGAATATTGCCAAGTCAGATTCTTATATTACAAGTATATCGGACCATATCGGCTTCTTATTGTTCGATCGCACGCGACGATCGAATGTAGCCATAAATTGTCAGCGAGTTTTTCTTGTCAAATTAATTTAACACCAGCATTGCTCTCATCTATATTTTTTGCTGCGTAAATCTCTATTATAATTACCCGCGTTTGCCAGGGATTCTGTAATTTGAACTTGTGGAATGTGTTTGCTGCTGAATGTAATTTTCATCAAGTGGAAGTTCCAAACTTTCAACCAATTAACATGCTTAGAATATATCACGTGTTGTAGTAATTCGATCTGTATGACACATTGACAACAAGCGCCAAGTTCGATATTTTGAGAGCAAGGATTCAATGGAGAAGATTTTTATTCAAATTTTCTATTATAAAGTTCGAAAGACCTAGTAAGATACATGGAATTTTAAGGTATGTCTATTGTGTACTTACTCATTTGTATGCGGATAGTTACTTGACATACTGTAGTTATATTTTTATTAAAATCGAAGGCCTGTATTTTATATTAGTCCCTTCGCCGCCGATTCACTGAAGGCATCTGGACGTTCAGTTGTAAATTTTCGATTAATTTCTATTAGCAGAAGTCTATAAGTCTAATCTACAGTCTCCACGTATATGTGTTGTTAAGAAAATCGTATAGCTTATTTGTGTGATATGCATTTGTATGTTGTAATTTTCTGTTAAATATTTGCTATAAAGATGCTTGTGATGTTTAATACTCTGAGCTAGTGTATATCCACACTGGGCAAGCTTGAAAAATGTGCCTGTCCACGGTGGGAATCGAACCTACGAGCTTTGGAATACTAGCCCAATGCTCTGCCAACTGAGCTACGCGGTCAGGTCGGTTCAAGTATGTGATATTTCGGAACAGAATCTAGTTCCTTTGAAACCAATGTAATTTAGTAATCATGATATTTTCTGTGTTGATGCATTGTACTCACTGGTGAATATATGCTTGTGATGTTACTCTGAGACTCAGAGTAACATTACAAGCATATACTCACCTGAGTACAATGCATCAACACAGAAAATATCATGATGAGTGTATATCCACACCGGGCAAGCTTGAAAAATACGCCTGTCCACGGTGGGAATCAAACCTGTGGACAGATTTAGAACTAGATTCTGTTCTGAAATATCACATACTCGAACCACAGTTAAGGACTTTGCTCGAACCGACCTGACCGCATAGCTCAGTTGGCAGAGCATTGGGCTAGTATTCCAAAGGTCATACTGTAGGTTTGATTCCCACCATGGACAGACATATTTTTCAAGCTTGCTCGGGGTGGATATACACTCAGTGTAACATCACAAGCATCATATTCACCTGAGTACATTGCATCAGCACAGAAAATATCATTTGCTATAACGTTGACATGTATACAGTACTTTTATATATGTGACTTGTTTGAAATGCAGTCACATTAATTGCATACAGCAGTGCAATAGCCCATCTCGGCATCTCCCAATATTACCCAATGCATGGCATGTGCTTGCTATGCCTATGGTAACCCTCCTATCGGTCAGCCTGAAACATGTGAAAGGGGCTGCTTATATAGAGGCGAGCCAGCCCAGGTAACTTGGCTATGGCTTGCTTTCCCTGGACGAATGTCTATTTACATGTCTTATGAGCCTCTTTAGATGGGCTCATGGACAGGCTATGCTCGCCAAAACAAATCACCCAGACTGAGTTGTGTAATAGCAGCACATTTTCAAATAAAGTAAATCAACATCATACCTTTGCAAACAGTTTCGAAGTGTAACTGACAAAAACAATCACAGACTGATATCTTTTAATATTGAAATTGATTGGGAAAATGTCATTTTATTAGAAGATTGCATGTAAAATTGAACTGATGGACTTGCATGACATGCTTGATTGAACAGTCACACATGCATATTTTACATCTTGTAAATATTCTACATTGAACAGAATGTTAACCCTTTATGTGACAATTTTACGCATGAAGGAGAGAGGCTGTCATTCAATGGGTTAAAGCCTTTCTTTAATTAAATGGAAATTTTGAACAATAAATATGTAATATATACATACTGTGCCGGGAATGGAACCTTCTGCCCTTTGATTCTGAACAGCTCTTTAACAGCTGAGAGACACTCAAGCCCTGAGAGTCCAAGCCCCAAGACTCCATG